GGCCCCAGCCGTGGATCACAAATGTGTGGTTATAGGTGATCACAGCATTACGCCTCCGGTGGCATGAAATGCGCGCATGCTTCTACCCACTCAACGTTGAAGTGAAGACATCGTGCCAATTCGATGTTAAAGTATGTTGTTGCTGGCACACCGCCCAGCTGCTCTCTCAGCATGACATTGCGTTTCTGGCAGCGGATGGTCAACACAACTGCAAGAAAGGCTCAACTTTCTAATGCGCTCTTCAGACAACTCCTTGCCCTCCTTGCCCTCCAACTTCAGACAACTCCTTGAACAAGTTCTTCAAATAAGATATATATGCATGCCCCAACAGGGATCCGTGGATGCTTCACGCTAGTTGGTCGAGGGAAAGATGCATACAAAAGAGCCTTTATCTTGGAGCTAATAGAGCAAAGGAGAAAGGAAACAGCCGTTGGAAGGCCAAAATGTTGTTGGGCTACGACTTGCTCTGCTATAGATTTAAATGACATGAGACCATTCGTCACTTTTTGAATAATTGACCACATTTTCTCTCTGTCTGCGATGTAATAACTGCGGCTGACTGACCCGCCAAACCCTCGTGCACTTCGCAAACATGTTCACAAATTATCGACTTAAAAGAGCGTTTTGCCACTTAATAATTGAATGCTCCCTCAGCCCTTTGGCCAGTCGCGGACGTTACTTGAAGCTTGGAAGGCTTACTGGGAAAGTTATGTTAAGGTAGCTGCCAGGTTTTGGAATAATCCAAAAGACGCCTTTAACATAAAAAATTACCAACGTCATTGGTATATGATGACCTTAAGTAATAGTATCACTTAGGAATAAGGGGTCGATACTTTCCGCTTTAAGTCGACACAAAATCAAGATTGCCAGTCTATCGAATGCACTATTGAAAGTAAAGAAAACAGTTGACTTACATTGTTGATGCACGATGACGTTTAAGCGTACCAATATGATTCTCAAATGAAGGGGCACACTGCCACGCAAAACAAAATGAAGAAAATTAAAAAGCTGCACTGCTAAAGCGCAAAACACCCAAAGACAAGAGTGAAAGTAATAAGGCTAACAACCCATGCTGGTTTCAGCACAGTACCTGCATTTTGTAGAATGCAAAATATGAGCGTAAAAGCCACAAAAGGTATCAGCCACGTTAGGATGCACCACTCGCAGATATTGCCTCGATCGCGTTTTGAGCTGACATGCTCCTGATACAAGCCGTCTAGATGACGAACCGGGCATAAGCGTCGTCTTAAGAGGGGTACCGTTTGATGTGCGGCTGACACCACTTACTGAAAATTGCATGAGGCTTGTGTGCTTTATGAGGCTTACATGAGGCTTGTTACATTTGGCTACCAATGGCTAACAGCACATCGATATGCAACAGCCACATATATTTAAGGTCAGTACATCTTTATTGCAGGATTTACTTTTTCGTTGATATTCGTGTCCTAGGATCAGCATTTTTATTCCACGTTTTTGTTCACTTTTTCGCCATGCTCGCGTGTAATATCTTCGTTTTACTCATCCACATTCACGTCTTTGTCAAGCGTGTGTCTTGCATATAATTCCGGCAATCACATTTAATGACGCCGTATTGTTTAAGCATGCATTCATATGAACCAATGGAAAGCGACGACGTTAGCAATATCACATTCCATATAAAACGTGTCTAGAATATTTGTCTTCGTACCGTGAAAAGCGCAATCGATTCGCAACGCCTTCACCACGGGGTACGCAACATCCCCGCACATACGGTGATCAAAGGACACGTGCAAAATGATTCGACAACGTTAACAAATTTGGACTCGATTTCAAATGGTTTATTAACTATGCACACAGCCTCAGGGGTCTTCTTCAACTCAACAAATAGTGTTCAGCCTTTAAGAATAACGGAAAGGTGAAGGGCAATGATGACTACATGTGCAAGGTAAAAGTGTAAATTTGTTTAATATTGCTGCACAAAAGAGAGTAATTTCATATTTGTTCCACGATAGAAGCTATTTGCAGCCACCTTTGCTCACGAAAAAGTCATACTGGAGGAGGGACAACCGATTCTATTCTTAACGTACAGTTTCCAATCCATCAGAGCCGATGGATGGCCTGCACCACGAGGGTGGCGTACCCAAGATAAATGAGTATTGATGAGATGGTAATGGGTAGCGTGATAATACTAGATGTGACCCCAATATGATTATTTTTTTACGACGGCGGCATGAAATGTTTTAGAACGTTAATCGTCTGACCAAGTTTGTTTGACCTGCTGGATGTTTCACTTGAAATGCTAATTATAAACGTGCACGTACATATTTCAACAATAGGCTACACAAGAGCTTACTGTCAGGAAGTGTAACCAAACTTCTGATATTTAAAGTAGTATCTCTCACACAATAATGGTGGTTTGGCAGCTGGAGATGCAGGCCTCTGTCCTCGCACTCAGCGGCTACACGCGTCATTTGCAAGACAATACAGTCGTAGCAGGTGTGGATCATTGGGCAATTTGAGAAGTACGTCGCATTTTGGGGCTGTCGTGGAACTGTTTTACTGAGTAGATAAATACTGACTTAAAAAATGAAAAATGTTCAAAAGTTCAAAGCTCTGTAATATAAAGATGTATGTTAATGAATAGTATGCCACACAAATGACAATCTTCTTTGACTTGATATTTTAAATGAAACATGTTGTATAAAACAATTTTCAACTTAAACGGGCCCACTCAGAAACCATTATTTCTAGAAGCTATGTAGGTGCATGCTCTCTATGAGCACCGTGAATCTGTATTTACTCCAGAACGATCGCTCTGAAAAATGCAACATACGAAATATGAAATCGTGACTCGAAACTGGAGCTCCTTAACTGAGTTAGCCATAATTTGTTTTTATATTTGTGCTACCTTGAAATGTGCGGCATGTTTTTACTCATTACCTGTTTGAGAAGCGACCGAAAGACGTTTCTGTGACCGATCGGGAATCGAATTGATTCATATAGGTCTTCAGTCAACCAGGTATTTTGTCTCCAAAAGACATAACTAAAACAGACTTCCACGCTCTCTCGTGCACCACTTATGTGGCCGCCTGTTTTGGGCCGTTATAGGAGGCAAATGTCTGATCTCAGCGACTTAAGTATACTGAGGCGTGACACCAACTGCATGCTGCGGGTGAATGTACCGACTGCGACTCACTAGCGGATCTCAGAACTACTGTCCAACACATACGTCACTGCGCTAGTATGCCAGTAATCTGTCCAACACATACGCCACTGCGCTAGTATGCCAGTAATCTGTCCAACACATACGCCACTGCGCTAGTATACCAGTAATCTGTCCAACACATATGTCACCGCGCTAGTATGCCAGTAATCTGTCCAACACATACGCCACTGCGCTAGTATGCCAGTAATCTGTCCAACACATACGCCACTGCGCTAGTATGCCAGTAATCTGTCCAACACATACGCCACTGCGCTAGTATGCCAGTAATCTGTCCAACACATGCGCCACTGCGCTAGTATGCCAGTAGTCTGTCCAACACACACGTCACTGCGCTAGTATGCCAGTAATCGACCGAAAGGTGACAGACATCGCCCTTTTGGAAATCGAGGTTTCGAATACAGGACGCTTTGTACAATGCCGAGAGATATTGGACAATTTTAGCTACGCTTACATGTAAAACTGTTCAATGCGACGAATGCACAGTTGAAACGTTTGGTTTGAGAGGTGAAATCTATGTTTGCAACAACTTTGTAACAATTGCCAAAACAACACATCATTGCAAATTCATAGATTTTGCTGACTAAGTTGCAAGACCTGGCGAGCCTCACCAAGCTCATAATCAGTTGTTTTACAGTCAATGTTAATTTGTGATGAGTGGAGCTCCACCCGCCAGCTTTTGATGAACGGTAGACTTTCCCACGGCTTTCCGACGCATTGGTCAAACTTGTTGGCATCGGACACCGTAGACGTCTGGCTTAATCAGTGGGTTTGATACGTGATACGTGATACATGATAAAACAGGGTAAAATCTACCATTCGTGTTGGCCTCGCCTCGTCTCACGCCACCGACGGCGCCCAATTGGCTTGGGTGAGATAAACAGCTGCACTTTTAAGGGGCAGACCGCCGCGGCTCCCCAATACCGTGCCTTTTCAACATAATTTCACGAAGTATTTTGGAATACCTTGAAAACAGCTCATCAAGCAGTTCAGCAGCACCTACGCGGATATCGTTCGCAGTTATCCATTGCATTCAACCAGTGAAGCTGTATTTCGTTAATTAACGAAAATCTCAACAAGGCTTTTTTAAAGATGTTCTGTGGTGATGTGGGCTGCTCTAGCAGCAAAAGCACAAGTTAAAAAAAATGTCAAAAATATTACGTTGAAACAATGTTTACCTTTAAACTGCATTGAACCTATAATGCATATATGCAAGCAATGTTACCATTCATGATGCTGGCCATGATTTCAGCTTTAGGATGATCAGCTACATAATAGGATACTCGACCACATAGCGTCCAACGACCTGGGCATCCTGTAAGCCGTACATTAAAGCAAATCGTCAGAGCTCAGTGTTTTGCGAGAATCAATGTGCCTACGCGTAAAACCGTGCAGAATGCTACGCATAGACGCTGTAAAGACTAGATCTGTGTGTGTATGTACCTAGCGAATTTAGACCAGTGGCTGTCAGAGTAGCCTGCATTCCTGTCCGGTGTGCGCCCCGCCGCAGGGCGTAGCAGACTCGAGTAGGCTGTCCCCTGAACAGGCGGTCGGCGTCGCGCGCGGCCGACTGCGCCCTCTCGTAGCTAGCGGCCCTGGACTAACGCTGTGCCGTATGCCGTCGTCTCTCCGGTAGAGCCCTTCCCCTCCCTCGGCCACCCGGTAGACAGAGGGTATAGTTACCGCGCGGCACCACCACCAGGAGCGGCCGCCGTACCGGACGACTACGGCCTGATGGGCGGCCACACGCGGCGCGCGCGCGCCCCGCCGCCGCCCGCTCTGACCGCGGACGCCGGCCGGCCCAAGAAAACACAAGTAAGAACGTAAGCTATATTTCATACTTTCGGTGTTGTTGTTGTGCCGCATGCCAATGGCAGTGTCATCTGCCGCCTGCTCTCCGCTGTCCGGCAAAGCTTCTCAGTGCAGTGTCAACACCAGTGATCGCTGCACTCGGCACGGGCCTCGCCAGGGGCCGTTGCACCCCGCAAAGGTCCGTGCGTCCGGCGCATGGCCGGTCAGGGGCCGCCGTGCCCGACATTAAGCCAGCCAGGGGCTGTTGCCCCGTGCACAGAGCCCACACCACGGACCACTGCCCCGCTCACAGAGCCCACACCACGGACTGCTGCCCCGCTCACAGAGCCCACACCACGGGCCGCTGCCCCGCGCGCAGAGCCCACACCACGGGTCGCTATGTCTTGCACAGAGCCCACACCACGGATCGCTATGCCTCGCACAGAGCCCGCACTAGAAGTCGTTGCTCTGCGCATAGAGCCCACACCACGGGCCGCTACATCCCGCGCACAGAGCCCGCACCACGGGTTGCTACACCTCGCACGGAGTCCACCAGTGTCTGGGACCCGCCAAGGTCCGCTGTACCCGGTTCAGGGCCTGCGAGGGGCCTCTACGTCCAGAAAAGGGTCTGCCAGGGGCCTCTCCACTCAGCACAAAGCCCGCCAGCCGTCACTGCACCCAACACTGGGTCTGCCAGGGATCACTGCGCCTGACACTTGGCCCGCCAGGCCACTGAGGTTGAAAAAGAGCCGACCAGGGGCCGCCGCACCCGCCATAGGGTCCGCCCGCGTCGCGTTACACGCGCACAGGAGTCCCTGACATACCTGCACTATGCCACGAGCTGGCTAAAGTGCACAACACCTCTCGAATTAAATGTGCTCGTTCGGTTTCGTGTGTGGGCTGTGACGCGTGTCCGCCAAGTTGATTCCTCACCTGCGAGTAGAGTTACACCAGCATCGTTTCGCAAAAGTGAGCACCAGCACATAGCTATTATGGCATAGTCAGTCGCATTGTCTTCATGTATTTGCACAAAACTCGTTTGTTCAAGTACCAGAACAATATAAATCTATACCAGTCCGAGTGATTTTGAAAATGCTACAAACGACGACGAGCATTATGCGATTACTAACGCGTCTCAGAAGATGGTCGTGCCCATCCGAATATGGTCGTGACCACCAACCACGTATAAAATGGAAGGCTTGCCATTAAATGACATCTTCCAAAGGGGCACACGGATGTTACTGCTTACCCTCAAAAGCGATAGCCCATCTCTATGGATGTGTTGTTCGCCGCACACACTGCTGTCTTAACGGCGCTGATGTCTGTTCAGCCTTTGCGTTTTCCTCAGACACCCGATCATCAGCACGTCAAAGAAGCGGGGTGCCAGTCTACTATGAAACGTTTGTTCGTAACAAGGGAGAAGCATCGTTCAGGTATGATACTTGGTGCTCATCAAATTTCACCTGGCTAATGTAGTCTGCGTCGTGTGGCAGTAACGATGTGGTATGATTATCAAGCATGTAAGACAATTTTGACCGTCTTTCGAGGATCTTAGCACACAGAAAATGTTACATAGACTCAAAGCTATCACAAAACACGAGTATAGACTGTCCGTCACCTTTGATAGCGACGCATTCTCTGTGACCTAGACATTGGCAGCGTATGAAAACGCAACCAGGCAGCGCACTTCATCACATGCCGGCCTGTTAGGGCTTCCAGTTAAGCTTCAGAGTAGTTTCCGAACGATTCGAAGCCAGCCTTTTTTTCCCGCAGGTGAAAGTGGGGTTGGTATGAAGCTTGTGGGAGGAAAATTGACACCCAGCGGCGAGACTGGAGCATTTGTCGGAAAAATTTACAAGGGAGGAGTGATAGATCTACTGGGGCAACTTAAAGAAGGTACAGTACGTCAACGCATGGATTTTGCTCTTTTAGCAATTGATCCGAGCTCTTGCAACCATTAATGAACAAAGTTAACTAGAAACGTCATGTCCCATAAATGGCATGTCCTGGACTATATCAAAGCGTGGTAGACTAATTAAATGACTCATTAAGCTACGGTTGATGCATTTTTTATATCGTGTGAGGTTGCGGGGATGAGCTTTGCACTCCTGTCCGCAGGTGACGAAATTGTTGAATGGAATGGCACTTGCTTACGTGGCAAAACATACGAGGAAGTCCAGAAAATTTTGAGCGAATCTACTCAAGAGATTGAAATATTAGCTGACTGCGGTCCCAAGACGCCGCCTGTTTCGACTTCGCCAGCCAAAGCCAGCGCCGCGCCGAAGCTGGACCGCTCGTCGAGCGGTAGCCCGCAGGTGACATGTGGGTCGCGAGGTCGCAGGTCACTGCCCAGGGTTCCGGGGGAGACGGCGGAGGGTGGGCCGGCGAGGCGCAGCAGGAGCGTCAGGAAGACCGACACAGTCTACGACACCAATGGCAACCCCGTCGAAGCGAAGCTGAGCCGAGCTGGCAACCCCGTCGAGGCGAAGCTGAGCCGAGCTGGCAACGGCACCCTCGACGAGGACGACGGTGAGTTGGGCCCACAGGCCTGCATCTGCACCGGTGAGTTGGCCCACAGGCCAGCGCCTGCACCGGTGAGTTGGCCCACAAGCCTGCACCTGCACCGGTGAGTTGGCCCACAGGCCAACACATTGCAGCGGCAATTGAACGCTTTATTCTTAGATGGAAGCAAAGCCTGGACGACAGGACGGAATAACACATTATGCAATAATACATTAATGCATAATACATTATCTCGCATATTACCAACCATTTGAAAAATGTTCGCGCTTCGAACCAGCTCCGTATCGGGCTTTCCGTTGAATACTGATAGCCCTTGGTCTACCAGCCTTTAACGTTCTAGCCATTCACTCCTACCGAGGAAAAGTTGCATAGACCTGGATCAAATACCATTGATCACTTTAAAGCGAATGGGCTAACCAAAAACTCTTCCGTTTTCATGAACGAGGCGGGAATGAAAAAAGTACAATGGCATCTTTTCAGCTACAACAGATTCAGAAAAATAGAACACAGTTTCTTCCGCCAATTTTGTTCAGCTGATCTCATTCTAACACTAAGAATTTACGTGGCGTTTTATTCCGAATTAATAATTATGTCCTCAATTGCTCACATTAGAGCCAGAGCTCTTCAGAATTACTGGAGGGCAGGAGGTAAATGATGTTGCAAAGAAGTGCTTCATATACATTAGGGGATGCCATAGCCCTCTATATACCGGACTAAAAAACAGTTTTCGTTGCCTTCATTACATCATCAATGATGACTCAGTGATCATCAGCGATCATCAGTGGTCATCATTCATTATCAGTGGTCATCAGTGACTTCTAATTCAATTCTTCCAACTTAATGGCTGTCGGAGGGACAAACGAAGCTAATTGTATAAACCCACTCTTGAAAGCGCCGCAGGACTCAGTACTCTCGCTTCTAAACCAACCCACAACCCAGCCACATCATGTAAGGGACACAGCCAGCATACCAAGCAGCGTTGTAGACGGCCTCTCGTGTCTGGACGCCGCCCCGCCCATCAGAGCGGCCTCGGAGGGCCACAGCGATGCTCGCCGGCCGTGTGCCACATTGATGGCCGGCTCACGCCACATTCGTCAATATTCTACCGTGACACACGCGCGCCGTTTGTGCCGGCCAGATCGCCGCGAGAACAACTCCAGCATCGACCCGATGGACAGCGTAAGCAACTGCGGCCGGCTGGCCGGCGGCGACTCGATCCAGCGCCTGACCTCGACCGGGGCACCAGCGGCAGCCGTGCGCGCCGCCGGCACCTCCGCCACCACCCGGGTGAGCGCGAGCGCGGGGCTGTCGTGACCGCCGGCCGCTGCGCTGAGGCCTGCATTGGCAAATTTCGCCTCAACATCTGCGAATCGTTCTCTCTTTCAGTGCTTCACTTCTCACTCTTTTCTCAATCGCCACTTGGAGTAGCGAACAAGTATGGAAGGTGGCGGGCGGGGGGGGGGGGGGGGGGGGGGGGAATGCATTGAGAACACTACGAGTCGAAAAGCGGAGATTTGATCCCATTTTTTACAAGCTATTATACACCTGGCTATTGCTTTCCTCCTCGCCCACGAACGCTATCCATGTAGGGAAAAAGGGTGTACTGCTGTACCATGCAATTCATATTGACAATACCGTGCTTTAGCGTAAGGCGTAGCTTTTTCAGACGGCATAACTTTCCGAGGCGTGGTAGTCAATTAATTTTTAAACTTTTTAAATAAATTTTTAAAAAATTTTAATTAAAAATTAAATTAAAAAATTTATGCATCTCGGGCATTTTCTAATGGGCGTCTCTGTTGAACCGTCCTTGGCAATCAAATTCGCGCGACACAGAATGTTTCTTATCCCACGATCTCGGTTGCCAGAAGCAATCTGAGATGGACGTCACTTGTAATCAACAGATACGTACACCAGGGCTATATCTAAAGCGAGATCTCGTTTTCCAGCGCTTGCCACTTGGGATAGCGCTGGGCCAGATTCAGCTCCAGCTCTGCTACGACGTGGTGGCCCACATACTGTACGTCAGCGTGCTGCGGGCCAAAAACCTGAAGACCCGACGGCCGAACGGCGACACGAGGCCGGACCCATTCGTCAGGGCCACGCTGCTCCCGGACGCCAGGTACCGGCCGGCCGCGGCAGCGACGCGCGCCTGTGCGGTGCGGCCCTGCACCCAACAGCCAACTTAAGTGGCCTGGCGCTTACCGCTACACAGCCGGGGCGTCGTCACAGCTAGGCTTTGCAGCGACCTTCTGTTAAAGTAGGTTTGAACGTTTTTCTTTTCTGGAACGTGATGTTTTGGTGATTGTTGCAGGTATGCCGCTGGGATGACGAGCCAAGTGCTGATGACCTGTCACCAGGCAAACGCCCGCAGTAGCTCAAAACGGTGCTCTCAGGCCTAAGTTAATGTTTTGTGCCTGCACAGGTGCGGCTGGCCGGATTCAGCTGGCGACAGCCGCACGTTTTAAATTCAGACAACGAGCGGTTCTGCTCTCATGGCAAGAACCACTGCAATGCATTGCAAGAACTTTGATAAATGGTTAAACGGTGCATACCAGAGCAGGCACAGCGACGAAAGCAAAACACGAATGGGCGGACTTGCCACTCAGATCTGCACTATTAATGAGGGCGCTCCACATTTATATGGGATTTGAACTGATATAGCCATTTTGAAAACCTTTTGGTGTTGTTCGTAATACTGCTCTTCTTAAGACCTAAGCCCCTCTGGTCTCTGGGCTATACGCCCGCGAAAAGAAAAAAGTACATCGGAGAGAGCATTTCAAAGACACCTTGGCATTAATGACGCCATAATAGCGCCGTTCAAATCCCGCCGTTTCGTAAGCCATGCGGTGATCAAGGCCAAGAAGAATACTTTTTCGAGGTGTTCACATCCAGCGCTCATGAGCGCGATTTCCAAATATAACGGCCGCCAACTGGCTCTCAATCAATGCTGTGCAAGGTGCGATGATGTTATCAACCATGCTGTATTGAGGAACATATTTACTAACAGAGAATTGTGCTGTGTAGAGTAGTCTTTTCCTATTAAAAAGGATACCAATGGTTATTAGTGAACTCGTTTCGTCAATTCTGATGATTGCTACAGTATTTCAACTGTGAAGCATTCGCTTCACGTGTGCGGCTTCTGCAGCTCACGCACACAGGTGCTCGCAATAAATTCTTGTACCAGATCCTGTACCTGTATCCGATCTAACGACTGGACCGTTTTGTAAAAAGATTGTTACGGTCGACCAGGGCAGTGTGTTCTGCGGGTACAGCATACCCCCTAGGCTTCCTGAGACTGACGATTTCCGGGAACGCGTCGCATGTCGCTCCAAGTCCACAGGCTTAGGGGCGCCAAAACAAGCGCCAAAGATTACAGGTTACATTAAGGAGCGATTTAAATGGCCGTATTAGCACCCAGAGGCTAACGACCCGGTAGGAATTGATACCCAGGCACCTCACGGCAGTTTGCATTGTCACCACTGGACGATCAAGTCGCTAGACCACAACGACCACAGATTCTTAAACAGGCCTTCTTAAAGGAGACGTTCATGGCCGTGTGATGACACTCCCGGCGTTCCACAGCTCGGAGAATACGCGGACTACCCGTCACTTCTCGTACGAGTCGGTGCCAGAGTGGAACCAGACCATGGTGTACCCCAAGGTGGCAGGCCGAGACTCTGCGTGCCTCCAGCCTGGAGGTCTCCATCGGAACCACGATCTGTACAAGGGGCAACGAGCACCTGGGACAAGTCTGCCATCGATTTGTCAGGTGACGGGAGAACATGGCGCTGGAGAGGTGGCCTGTCATGACCCCGACGTCCGTGATTGAAATGGCCATATTAGCACCCAGAGACCGAGGACCCGGTAGAAAATTCCCCCTCAGGCACCGCACAGCAGTTTGCATTGTCACCACTGGATTATCACGTTCATTAAGAAAACTGCGCACCGAATTTGGAAAAGCCGATGTAGGTTTAAATGAGAATTCGGGTACAGGAATAAATGTTGCTCTTCATGAACTAGATTTGAAAGTTTACTTGCACTGCTTACGCACGTGACACCAATATACCTGTTGGCAACATTATTCAGCATAATGCAATGGTATACTCTTTATAATTTTTGCCTCTTGAAAAGATGCGTTTAGTTTTGTATGTGTATGATTGAAAGAGAACGCTTCTGTCCCTAGATTTTGTCCTTTGCAAAGTTCAGACCGCCTTAGTTGTTGAAAGTCTCCTTCTTAAGTTTACTTGGCACAGACATGGCTACTCTTTCTTCCTATTCATGACTTTGTCCAACGTTTCTTGAACGCAGTACCTAAGTGAAACATTATCAAGACTTCAGAGAAATACTTATATTTTCAGATCCACACAGCGTCGACGAGCAGCCTCGCTGGTACCAGCTGGTGGCGCTAGATGGCAGGGGCGGGCAGAAGTCGGACGGCCGCCGCCGTTCCGACAGGCATTTTCTGCCCAGAAAGTCGCGGGCGAAGCGGCCTGACGTGCTGCCCATGGAGACCGACCAGGGAGGTTCGTGCTCCAATAAAGGTGACACCTAATCACTGTGACACCTCCGTTTGCTAAACATTGATGGCACACCTTGTCACCTTATCTTATATCTCTCGCTACGCAGCGCGATACGACGCTATACGATACGCAGTTCGGTTACTTGATATGAGTGTTCGCAACATTTTGTGCGTGTCAAGTTTCTAATAAAATGGATGAAAAGTTCATTTTTTGACTAACTCTGCGTCACTTGTCTTGTTGTTCAGGGTTCCACCGACGCAAAACCCTTGCCCTTGTCAAAGTTTTGTGGCTTAACACAGTCCATAAACGATCTCTTCATCAACACTCTTTTCGCCTTTGTCTCTCATAACCTCCTTCGTGACGTGCCTCGCTCAATTTCAGCCAACCAGCGTCAGACTAAGTACATTTTCGCTACCTCGGGCATCTCAGCGACGTCCATGTTTCCGGGCCGCTGTCACGGCAACATGTGCTCCATTTTGTGAGCCGTGCCACGGGCGGCAGCTGACGGCGGACAGCGGCACGCACGCGCCATCTTCCCAGACCGGCACCGCCCGCCAAACAAGCTCGCGTGTCGGCTCTCCGTATCGTGCTGGTGTGCCGCGTAACGAAGTGTCGGGCCGGCGTCACTGATCTGTGGAAGGTCGCTGCCAGCCGGCCCTCCGACACCAACTCTGCGCGCCCGTAAAACGGGCTCGCCGACATCAGCTCTGTGAGCCCGGAGAACCGGCTCGCCTAATACCAGCTCTGTGCGCCCGGAGAACCAGCCCCAAGGACACGGCTCTGTGCGCCGGGAGAACCGGCTCGCTGACACCAGCTCTGTGCGCCGGGGAGAACCGGATCGCTGACACCAACTCTGTGCGCCGGGAGAACCGGCCCTCCGACACCAGCTCTGTGAGCCCGGAGAACCGGCCCGCCGACATTGCTTAGTCGATGTAAAACCCATAAGAGCCGCAAATTGTTCGTAGTTCATGCAGAACGTTGGCCGCCAAAGCACCTGATGCCGAGAGATTGGGCTTGTTTCGCACCGTTACTGGTTAGCGGTTCTGCACCGTAGTCGATTGCGGCTGCAAAATATGACCACGTTCGGAGGAGAAACGAAACGACTGGAGGCTCAGAGAGGGACAGATGGTCGAACCAGCGTTGAATGCGATAGTTTGCCCTGGATGGGAAACATGCGTCACTCGCTCAATGTGTCTCGTTCGCTTCCAGACAACAGAAGTTTGCACGTTTTGTCTTAACCGGGCGCGCATGCTTGGAAGTGATTGATAGGATTGACCGCGAGCAACGTCACAGTGGCGGACGTCTTCACGAAGGGAGTAGACGTAGCAGAGGGCATTGTTTGTTCATAATGAATGTGATGCATTGCATGCCGCGGTGCATGCTGTTCGAACCTAAGGAGTACTAGACATTCCAGGTGTGTTCATGTATATGCGCCGTAATATCCTCAATATCATCCTCCCTCGTATCCGCCTGTCTGTAGACTATCGAATTATGTTTAAGAGCTCCTTATAACCAATTATCTGATTCCGATCAGAACGTGCTTTTATCCCTCGGGTTGAACAAATATATATCTATAGAACCGTGACTAGGGCGCTAAACAAGTAGCTTTCTGACCCATCTTTAAAGGAGAAAAGCGAGGAAATGTCTAGACGGACAGATTCAAACAACTACCTTGTAACATATTTGCATCATACTTGTAATTCGTGAGCATATCTCCGTGTGCCGACTGTATATACAAGGTATCGTTTACCTACGGTTTTCAACATGCCATTTTCTCCTGGCTATCCCATCTAATTCCGTGTTTCGTGTCAATGTGGTGCCCTGCGGTTCAAGATCTACGCCGTGATGTATGTCAATATTCATAACACGCCCGTTATCGGGTGTGTCCAGCTGCCTGTGTCTCGTTTAATTATTTAGCCGCCTTGTGACGTTTTCTACTACTCGCTTCGGAGCAGATTTGGGTTCATGAGCATTAAACGTGGCCCAGATGAAACTTCGTGCCGGGGATATGAAATGTTTGGATATAGGGGTGAAGCGAGCCCCGCATGCAAGCAGTTTTTATCCATGTCGCTGTGCTGTCTATGTAGTGTAGAGTTGTACCGTGTAGATGTCACTGTCATGCCTGGTGGTTGGTCAAGTGCTTTCACACGAACAATACACACATCATCACATTCTGTGTGTTTATTGGATGCAATAGGTGAGATCACACTTTCCAGGATCAGTCAACCTAGAGAAGAAAAAAGGAAAATGGCTTTAGAACTGAATGCAGGAGAAACAAAATGTTGGATTTGTTATGAGGATGCGAACTAATAATTTCAAAATGAGAGCGACAAAACTCGAAATGTTCGCCAAAACCAAGTTTAGGACGCCTCGGGTGGCGTGCAATTTCTTGCGTACCGTCAAACAGTATTGCTCATTTGGGATCTTCCAATTTTGACGTCTTGATCAAGTGTTTTTAACTGCGAACATTTGGCTACGTACACATCAATACATGTCATACATTTGGAAAGGAGGGTGCACGTGCCCCGAGGGTTACTTTGTGCGTACACCCCTGCCTGTTATTACTATACAGTTGGACTACAGACGGCTATTCGGCGGGGAAATAACCCCATCTTCAAGGAAGCGCCCAGCTCAAAACTTTCTGTAATACAGCTACCCGCCAAAAATATGCTGGGAACCTGTCACCAGTGCCACAGAAATGCGCTGATAAAAAACAAGTTTGTAGGATGACTGCGGCAAATGGGTGGAGCACGTTTAATGTCAGTGAATAAAGACCCATGCGCCCCGGGTCGAAAAGAGTGCTTTGCATTAAGATCACGTCGCAGAAGGGTGATGTCTTATCTTGTCAGCGGACCAGAGAAAGCATTTTAGTTTTGCTTGATCTCCGGTCACGAAACACGTAGCATAACCTGCTATGCTAATCTGGCCGCGATAAATTGGCTACAACATGTGGTTTGTGTACTCTTATTGTGATCCGCACACCTTGCCGGTTTGTGCGGCATATCAGCACCCAAAATGGATTATTTTGAGTTATGTTCACCTGTGGCTTACGACGTTGCATTTATCACAGGGAAATGAACTACGGTGTTTCGAATGATAACCTTTTTTTGCGTTGTATAGAGGTGATTTTTGACCTTGTGGCAGCCAAAAAGTAATAGGTTCGACCTTTGCGTACCAGTAGGCCACAACATAAAGACTATGGCTCTTTTCTTGCTCGTTTGTCCCCAGAACATTCAGCTACGCTGCGTCGATTGGGGTACGTTGAATTGTGACCCGATAAAAAGTTGTAAGTACAGTAACCCGAACGAGCGCAGGTGAGATTAATTATAATCCTAGTCTGGGGTCAAATGATCGTTCGTACCGAGATGACCATTTCTCCCTATCCTTTCCTCGCGCTGTAACGTTTGGGCTTTGGCTAGGTTAGGGTGGGTTGTCTGGAGGAGCCTTTTTCATCTCTTCACGTTCGATGCGAAAGGTACAATAAAGAGGCACAGGAAAGGTATACGATACGTCATTTTAAGTGAGTCTGTTTCAAACAGCTTGTTTATTTACATCAGTGACCCTGACATCCCAGCAGAGTTTAGCCGTCGCATAGGCGGCAGCGTAATATCACAAGGGGTGTTCTATTGATGCTGAAAACATAGAACCAGATAAATCGATGCCCACGAACTCCCCGCTTTTGGTCTGAGAACGCATTACCCTGTGTGATTTGGTTGTAGTATGGCTGTGTAGTATGGTGTGTAGTATGGCTGTGGCTGTGTTATGTTGTTGGTTTGGTGTAGTATAGCTGTTAAAGATTCAAGTAGCTAACCAACACTATCCGAAACTCTGATTATACCGATACATTGGCAAGGTAATAAGGCATGAAATGCACATCACAAAATCATTAAAGTATCCTGGAAAGTTATCGTTTTGTCATCACTTTACTGGACGGTCCAGGTCAGCTCAGTCAGGGATTGGCTGAAGCCAGTTGGACACTGGCAGGGGAATCGGAAGCTGCTCGGAACTCAGTCTGGCAATCCCACGTTGACGTCATCATGGGGGATTGTCCCAGGCCATTTACGTGTTGCAGGCATCACAGAACGGGTTTTCAACAATAGTTTTCCATTGCTTCTAAGCCGCTTGTTCCCATAGAATAAAACTCAAGACGTTTGATAATACGCCTACTTTCCATAGTCGGGTTCCAACCAACTGTGGCTGGTCACTGACTGCAACACCAGCCTGTCATTGAACCATGCTCTTCATCCAATAAGGGCGACTTTTTGCGCAAGTTGTTCAGTGCATTCGCGAGGAACATTATTCACATAGA